TATGATGGTGTATCTGGAGAACCCTAAAGAGTCAGCTAAAAATTAATTGAAACAACAAATTTAAAGAAAGTTGCAGGATATAAAATAGGTCTATTTAAATCATTAGCATTTCTGTGTGTTACAAGCAAAACCCAGTGGGAAGAGAAAAAAATTCCATTAAAAATAACTGTAGAATTTATAAAATACTTGGGCAGTCTATCTACTAAGATACTATGAACTATGTGAATGCAAGTATAAAACACTCTTTACAGAAATGAAGACAGACCTAAATAGTTTGAGAAATATTTATTGCTCATGGATAGTGAGAAACAATAGCAAAATTCATCTTCAGGAACAAAAATGTCAAGAGTATAAAGGGAAATACTGAAAATAAAATGGGAAAGAAAGGGGCCTAGTAGTATCAGATCTCAAACTATACTGCAAAGCATAATAATCAAAATGACTTGGTATTGGTTAAAACTAGAGAGGTGGATTGGTAGAACATATCAATAAAACATTTAAGTGCCTACTGTATGCCAGACACTGTGCTAAGGGCTGCTGCACAGCAAGATTAGAGACACAACATACAGAAGTAAACAAACTTAGTGGCATAGTATTTGATAAACCCAAACATCTTAGCTACTATAGAATAAGAACTCACTATTTGACAAAAACTGCTTGGAAAACTAGAAAGCAGTCTGGCAAAATTAATTTTAGCTCTCAGCATCTCATGCCAAATCCTGAGATAAGCTCCAAATGGATGCATGACTTAAATATAAAAGGTCCCACAATAATAAAGACATTAGCAGATCAAGGATGAAACTACCTTTCTGATCTATTGATAGGGAAAGAGTTCCTGACCAAAAAAGGAACATAGAGGATCACAGATGAGTATTTGCAGCCTATCTGTTGTAAAAGATGAAGATGGAGACATTCTTTAAAATATTCAGTTAGACCCTTCAAATGAAATTAAATGGGATAATCTTGATTTTATAAAAGTTGAGTTTTTGCAAAAACTAAAATTAGAAGGGAAGCAAGTAAGTGGGAGAAGTGATTCAGCAGGTTTCTCTGATAAAGGTCTCATTTCTAAAATATTTAAGGAACAAATTCAAATTAATAAGAATAAGAGCCATTCCTCAATTGATAAATGGTCAAAGGATAATTTTTTAATGGGCAGTTTTCTAAGGAAAAAACTCAAGCTTTTGATGCCACATGAAAAAGTGTTCCAAATCACTAATAATTAGAGAAATACAAATGAAAGCAATTCTAACGTTCTACTTCACATTCATCAGATTTGCAAAGATGACCAAAAAAAAAAAAAAGGAAAAAGACACATGGAAGGGGCTACAGGAAACTAAGCACATTATTGAACTGTTGGTGGATCTGTGAATTGGTTTGGTCATTCTGGAAAGCAATTTGGAACTATCTCTGCAAAGTCGCCTAAACTGTGCATACCAACAATAGCACTATGAGGCCTATACTTCAAAGAGAGACAAAAAGGATCCATAGATATAAAAAAATCAGTAAAGAAAAGAGCACCTATTAATTGCAGAAGGGTTGAACAAATGATGGTAAATTAATTTAATGGAATATTATGCCATAAGAATTTAAAAAGAAAGGAGAGTCACAGAGGCATCTTTTTTTTTTTTTTAATGATAGAAGAGAACAGAAGGAAGGCCAGAAAGCAGCATAGAAAATTAGGACAGCTACAGGTTAAATATATATTATATATATAAAATAGAGAGTTGCAGTTTCATGTACAGTCTTTTTATTCTATTTTACTATGTATATGGAGTTGCCTATTTTATTTGATGTTTAAGCTAAGAATAAAAAAAATTTAAAGTTTTCGTTGCAGAAAAATGGGAAATGAGCAAAAGAACAGACATCAATTCAGATAATTGTCATTTCCTAAGGAATTTTAACTCCTGTCAATCAACCCTAATGGAACAAAAGAGCCTAGAAAAATTGTCTTAACCAGAAAACCCTTTATCTCCTTGTCAAGAAGAGAGACATGACAGCCAAGGGTAACGTCAATTTAGATTATCAATTTGAGGAGGAGGATAGAAGATTATGAACAATATTATCTCATCACTAATACGCTGTTGGTGGAGTTGTGAACTGATTCAACCATTATGTAGAGCGATTGGGAACTATACCCAAAAGCCTTGCGATACCACTACTAGGTCTATATCCCGAAAAAGATAAAAAACAAAAAGGAAAAAGACTTATATGTACAAAAAATATTTATAGCAGCTCTTTTCTGGTGGCAAAGAATTGGAAATTGAGGGAATGGCTGGACAAGTTGTGGTATGTGATTGTGATGGATTACTATCACGCTATAAGAAATGATGAGCTGGATGTTCTCAGAAAAACCTGGGAAGAATTATATGAACTGATGCAAAGTGAAATGAGTAGAACCAGGGGAAAATTATACACAGTAACAGCAATGTTGTAAGATGAGCAGCTGTGAATGACTTAGCTTTTCTCAGCAGTACAATGATCTAAGATAACTCTGAAGGGACCTATTATGAAAAATGCTATCCATCCCCAGAGAAAGAACTGATGGAGTCTGAATGCAGATTGAAGCATGCTTTTTTAACTTTCTTTTTCCTTTTTTAAAATTTTGGTCTATGTTTTCTTTTACAACATGACTGTATCAAATTGCTTACCTTTGAAATGAGGGGGGTGGGGAAGGAGGGAGAGAATTTGAAACTCAGTTTTTAAAAAATGTTGAAAATTGTTTTTACATGTAATTATGGGGAAAATAAAATACTAAATAAAAATAAATAAATAAAACAAATATACTTAACCCCCTTCCCCCAATATAGTCTCATGTGAGAGGTTGTGTGTCACACTAGATAGAGAGCTGACTTTGCAACTAGAAGAAGGGAGACACTGTCGCTGGTGAATCCAGGGATGCCATTTAAGATGCCCATGGGAAGATGGGAAACCCAGCCATCCCCAGGACCCTTCAAAACTGTAAAGTCAAAAGAATTGGAGGGAAAGGGAAGGAGCCCTAGTTAAAACTGAAGCTGAGGTCTCTTCTTTCCTTTTATGTTGTTCTTCCTCTAGGATATACTGGAAAGCCACATACTCCAGTACTTGAATTCAGTGCTTTTGTAGCTCACTTGATGCTTTTATAGGGAAGGGGAAGGGAATGATTATATAATGCCTACTATGTGCCAGGCACTGTACAAAGTACTTTACAAACCGGATCTCATTTAACATATAGGACCTAGTGGGCATCATGAAATCCCCCACGCAATTGGCACAGAACCCATCAGTTCACTTTGTAAAATGGCTTTCAGAGACTTTTTGCAGTTAGGTCAAAGTTTACGATTGGAATTGATTGTTGAGACTTGTTTTCACCTAGTTAAGCCATCAGAGCTAAAAGGAGGTGAAGGTATTTCAAGGAGTCCAGGCCGGAGCCTTGAGGAACACCCAGGATAAGTGGGCTTAACGTGGACGAAGATCCAGCAAAGGAGACAGGAGGAGTGGTCAGACAGATAATAGTCCATAGATATGGTCCAACCATGACAACCATCCCCCCTCTCCCCAACTCGGTAAATTTCAGTGGCACCCTGTTGCCTCCAAGATCAAACACAAAGTCCTCTGTTTGGCTTTCAAAGCCCTTCATAACCTAGCCTCAACTGCCTGACACATACTCTGATGTAGTGACACTTGACTTCAGGCTGTTCCATAAACAAGACCCTCCATTCTCTTGGCTCTTAATATTTTCTCTGGCTGTGCTCCATGCCTGGAATGCTCTCCCCTCTCCACTCCTAACTATTGACCTCACCGGCTTCCTTTAAATCCCACCTTCTATAGGAAGCCTTCCCTCTGTTAATTATTTCCTATTTGTCCTGTATATGGCATATTGTTCCCCCTTCCCCATTAGATTTTAAGCTCCTTGAGGGCAGGGACTGTCTTTTGCCTCTTTTTGTATCCCCAGCACTTAGCACAGTGCCTGACACATATAGGAGTTACTTAATAAATGTTTATTGAGTGGTTAATTGACTTCTCTGAAATATTTGATTAGCATCACTGCTTTTTTATGTACGAATGAGCTGAAATAAGTACTTAGTTCCTGTTTTTAGAGATCTAGTACAAGGGTCCTTGACTTTTTTGTGTGTGTCATGGGCCTTTGGGCAGTCTGGTGAAGAAGTCTTTGAGGAATTTAGCTTCTCCCAAGAATGCTTCTAAATGCATAAAAACAAAAAAGAAAGGATTATAAAGGGAACTGATTCTGTTCAAATACAGTTCTCCAAATATTAAAAAAAAAATAAATCCCCCAAACCCAGGTGAAGCACTCTTGCTAGATAACATACTTAGGAGGGCCCTGGGCAAGGTGGCACCTTTACAGATGCAGACATGCTTCCTGAGCGGATGTCTCAATTTACACTGAGAAAGAAGCTATTAGAAATCTTATTGAAATGAAAAACAGTCACAATGACCAGTTTAGTCAGCATTTAGGAAATGTTTTATTGACAATTCTTGGTTTTAATGTATAACAGCAGACTTAGTACCTTATTACTTTTCTTCACTACATGCTTTCCTACTGTTTGCAGCATTCCCTCCTACTGCTGTGTAAAATGCCCATAAAGAGTTTTATAATATTTAATACCTGCTGGGTGTTAAGAGCAGAACACAAAAATAGGTGTGGGCCTAGGCTAGTCTTCTCACGCTCACAGCGTGACAGATGTTTGAGATACATGTTTTGAGAGAAGATGGGTCCAAAGGAAGCAAGCTGCCTTGCTTCCCCAGCCACTATTGCTTGTCTAAATATGAGCGATTCAAAGTACAGGCTGAGGTAGAATGATGGCAAACGCTGGTATCTGTTCAGATAACTTCTGGAGCTTTGTTATTAATCTCCATTTTGCCCTTTCCTCAGCTCTCTCTGAGAATGTGGTCACATTATGCATCTCTGCTCTGGGAGGACAGAGACAACCTTGGGTCTTTTACGTTCGGGAGCCAATGTGGTGAAATTGGTAACTATGCTTACCAGTGTTTCTCCTTGCCAGAGATTCTGTTGGGTTTGATTTTCTGAAGACCGTCTGTAACCAATTTGAGTCGTCAGCACATATTGGAAAAGCCTTTTTGCTCCACATTGAACTCCTCTTACAAAGGAAGGAAGACCAGCTTGCCAAGGAGAAGGTTGAGGGCATTCTTACAGGTCTGTAACTGGTTACTGAAAAGCAGTAATCTGCAGAGAATCATGCTAAGACAGAGTGAGTAGGAAATAGTAGGAGGTGAAGGTAGAGAACTTGGGCTTCCTTTTTTTTTTTGCTTTGTCCTTTGTCTGATGGTCACTGAGTATAGTTGGGCAATGGGAGTTAAGTGACTTGCCCAAGGTAACACAGCTAGTAAGTGTTATGTGTCTGAGGCAGGATTTGAACTCAGGTCCTCCTGAATCCAGGGCCAGTATTCTATCCACTGTGCCACCTAGCTGCCCCAGTAGCCCCTCCTCTATCCAGAGTTTAGCCACAAATCAGGAAGAAAGCAGCCAACATTGTCATCAATCACAAAGTCCACTTCAGCCTCCTACTCAGGGCCTACTTTTAGTTTTCATTTGTTTACTTTGGTGTGCTTTGCATTGATAACTAACAAACTTGGTTATACAGTTTCACAGCTCAGAGTAGTTTTAGCAACAGCCAGTCACTAAAAGGAGAGAAGGGGGAGAGGGACTGTTACAGATGGGAGCAATAATATCAAGTCAGGGGACAGCTTGGCTGCTGCAAAAGGAGATCCAAAGCAACCTAGGACCGTTTAGGGTTGAGGCCCCTGGATCATCCTCCTAAGGTATATGGTGTAAGAAGGCAGGGAAGCAGGGAAATAAGATGTTTTCAAAAGGTTTCTGCCCAGTTAGTTGGGTAACTTTTTTTCTTTTAAGTTTTGGTTCTAAGTTGGCTATGCAGTTGAATCACTCTCTAAGAGTTCTGAATAGCCACAATTTTATGAACTTTTGAAGACTACCTTGCAGCCCTATGGTGCTTTGCCATTTTCAGAATGCTTTCACATTTACTATCTCATTTAATACTCTCTCATTTCTCCATTGGAGGTTGAGTAGCACAAATATTTTTATCCTCATCCCGAGAGATGAGGAAACAGAGGCTCTGAGACCTTAAGGGACTTGGCCGTGAGCACACAGATAATAAGTGGCTGAGGCAGGGTCTCACTCAAGTCTCCTGTGTTCAGTCTACTACCCCATGCTGCACAGGGAGGCTATCAGATTGAGAAATTGATCTACAGTGAGGCTGAGCAGCTGAGTAAGTGGCAGGGCCAGATTTTGTGACTTCTGTCTCTGTACCCTGCACTATCCCATGGTGGCCACGCGCCTCTTGGGATAGGAACATTTAGAGGTAACGTATCAGGTAGCTTCTGACTCCTGGCTCATTATTTAGGACTGACTGTCCCTAGGGCAGATGCATGTTTGATGACTGGCCTTAGGAGTCAGGCTCTCTCAGGAGCTCTAATCCAGACTTTGACAAAAAGGGCAGAAGGAGAGGACAGGGTGTGTGTTTATATCAAATTCCGCCTTCAGCTAGCATGCTATTATGGTGTCAATGGTTCCTTAATAGGCTAATGTCTTGGAATCTTGTAAATTTCTAGACCAAATGTACTTGTCTGTGAGTCATGGGGTTTAAACTGATAAAGCTTATGTGTAAACCTGGTTGTAAAGTACTTTCCAAGTGCTCTAAGGCATAATTGGCCTCCATTGTGAACTTGCCCTGATCTCCTTAGTACATTACACTAGAAATACTCTTTCTTATTAATGATTTCTGGCATTGCTGTTGGCTCATTCACAGCCATATATTACCTTGCCAGGAAATGATCTGATTGGGAGCCTACAAAATGGGTTAAAAGAGACTGATGGGAGGGAAACTGCCCCAGGTAGATGGAAGTGGTGTCTCATCGATTCTGATTGGACCACTTGATTTTGAAAGCTTTTGTAATGTGGATGCTGATGGGGGCATTGGGAATGTTCTTGTTTTAAATCTCTGCTTGAAGATTACAGTCTATGAAGTCAACACTATTGATTGACACAAAAGTTGTAGATTTCTGATTATGAGCACTTTGGTTTTTTCTCAGCTCATCATGCAGGAAAAGAGCTGCCTCGCGGAATATTAAGCTGGCTGCACAACATTCTTTGGGACCAAGCTGCCCAAAATTTTGAGGTTTGAATATCTTTATTGTTTATTATATTACTCCTTCTTTTCCTTTTCCTTAGGTCGGATAGGCTGTCACAAACTTTTGATGTGCTAAATGGTCTCCCTATCCCAGAACCTCTTCTTTCTTTAATCCATTTCTTCACAGGTTCCCAAAGTAACCTTCCTAATCATCAAATCACTCGCCTGTTCAAAAGCCTTTAGTGATGCTACCCTCTCCTGGGCATGCTGATCAGGGCTGAGTATCAACCATGACATTTAGCCTTTAAACCCCTTAAAAGTGGGCTCACTTGGAGGAGAGCAGTCATTATGAAATGTCTTGTGGCTTGGAAAAAAAAAAAGGGAATATCTTTTTAAAGTTTACCTCCATTAGCTTTAGTATTGTAACTGTATTGGCTTCTAGAGACACTTAAAGAAAACATCAAAAAAGTGGCCTATCTCTCACACATATATGCCTCTTGTTTCTTCTCAACCCTCAGGCGCAGAATTACTCTGAAGCCCTGCACTGGTATAACTATTCCCTGAGTTTCTATCCATCTGGGCAGATGGATCTGGACTTTGCCAAACTGCAGAGGAATCGAGCTTCCTGCTACATTCATCTGAAGCAGCTGGAAAAGGTCCTTTGGTTTCTCTATTCTGGGAAGGTAGCAAACATGGCTCTCCAGGGGCAGAGAGTCGAGGATGGCTGGCAAGGACAGTATTCTTTGTGTCTTCTTGGCAGTCATTGACTCTAAGGATGCTTAGAGTCATTCTCCATTCGTGGCTTAGGTGAGGGCTAACCTGGGGTCTCAAATTTTTCACAAGGCTGAGCGGGTCATCTAGAGCAAGAGAATACATCCAGTTAGGCGTGCAGATTGTCAAGAAGTGCAAGACAAAGCCCTGAGGCCAGGGCTCTTTTGTTCCTGCTTTACTAGAATGGGAGAGGGAAGAAAAGGGCCTTCTAATTTTTTTTTAATTGACAGTCTATTCTGATGAGTAAAAGTCTTGTTGGAGATGTGAAAGGTCATGATTATCAGCCAGCTGCAATGTTACCCTTGAAATTGGTCACAGATTGAAGGGTAACATTGCTTTTTTAGCATGCAGTGCAAGAAAATGCTCAGGTAAGAATCCTGTTCTTCCACCTTCAGGGCTGATCACTTGGGACTTTCCAGCAGTCTTTGCCATGACTGTGGAGTGACTTTTATAATTTTTAGAAGGTGAAAGAAATGGGTGATGATCTGAAGATGGAAACATTCCTATTGCACACAGTATTTGGTAATGTCTGGAAGCATTGTAGCACTTTGGGAAACATTATTCCCTTCAACAGATCACAGATTGAATGTTGCCACACATTTGGCTGTTCAGAGCTCAGAGCTCTGCGGTGGGTGCGGGTCATTCCCGCTTCAGTTGTAGAGATGGAAAGGGGCCTGTTGTCACCATCCTGCCCTCAGTGAGCCGCTTAGGGCGTGCTGATCTGGATGAGCAGTGTTTCCTTGGGGGCTGTCCCCTCATTTTGCTGCCTTATTGTTGGGTTTGTCGTGTACAAAGAAAAGGCTTGTTTCCCCTTGTGTTTGGAAGGAAAGGAGCCAAAGTTTGGAGCACAGAATCAGGAGAAGCAGCATGATGTAGTGAACCTGAGTATCAGGAGATCTGGGCTCTCATTCTGTCTCTTCGACTAGCTAGCAGTATAACCTTGGATAAGTCATTTCCCCTCACTGGGCTTCAAGTTTTCTCTTTGCAAAACAAGATTTCTGAGGTTCCTTCTTCTAACTCCTCTGATCATAGGGCCTCGGGTCAAGAAGACGAAAGGATCTTAGAGGTTATTTATTTCAACCCTTCATTTTGTAGAAAAGAAAATTGAGGCCCTGAGAAGTAAGTGACTCTTGCCTCTTCTACCTGTAGCTGAAGCTGTAGTCTTGCTTTTCTATATCTTTAAGTCAGGGGTTCTTAAACTGTAGTTCATGAACCCTAAGGTAAGGGTTGGGGTTTATGGATGCATTACAGAGAGTCCATGAACTTGACCCCCTGTGATATCAAACTTGATATCAAAAAATATTTTGGTGTCTGCATTTCACTAGAATTGTTTTCTTTTATAATCCTCTGCATTTTATTTTATCCATCTAAACATGTTCTTTTGAGAAGGGTCCATAGACTTTACCAGTCTGCCCAAGGGGTCCTTTTCTAAGCCCTAATATTAGACAGTGGAATATTAGGAGAATGTGTTTCTCAGAGCTCTTCTCCTTGGGAAGCTCTTGCAGAGTCAATCCCCTTCAGCTTTGTAGCCCTCTGTAAGGTTGGAGGCCACATTGAGGGGCAATTGATGAAATCCCCTGACCCGACAGATTAATCAGTACGTTGGCCCTTGCTGTTGGAATTATTGGGGCAGAGTTACAAGAGCGCTGGGTTTAGAGTGTGAGAACCTGAGCTTATAGCCTGCCTTTTCTACTTACTCTCATTATCATCCTGGCCAAGTCCTTTCCTCTTTTTGGACCTGTGTAAACTGAACAGTTTAGCTTAGGTGATATCCGAGCTCTCTTCTGGCTCAAAAAATCTGAGATGAGTTTTATGGCACCTTGACCCTGGAGGTTGTGCTGGAAATAATAGTAGATCACAGATTTGGAGCTGGAAGGGACCCTGAGTTCGACCCTCATTATACAGATGAAGAGATTGAGGCAAATAGAGGTTAAATGATTTGCCCAGGGACATGTAGCTTGTCTATGTTCAGATTTGAGCCCTGGGCTTCCTGGCTGCAGTTTCAGTGCCCTATCCACTATACAGTGCCAGAGCAAAACCTTCATTAGATTTGAGAGGTATGTAACTACATTGGGGGATGATTGTCTATAACGGTCATACATTATTAGTTCTTCTTAGGTGTGTGGACTGCCAGTGCTACAGATAGTGAAATGCAAACAGCCAGGCATTGGAAACCATTGTGCCTTATTTCAGCAGCCACCACAACGTCAAGAAGCGTTTCTGTGATTTTTATACAGCTCTCAGTAGACAAGCTTTAACATGGAGCTGTATTGTTTTATATGGTCCCAAAGATCTTACTCCTTTCTGGTAGGTCTAAAAATGAATTGACCATTTTGCCTAAAGCAGCCAGCATCTTGCTGTGACCACCAGGTGGTGATGTAGCTTCTGTTTGCATTGAATCCATCCCATTAGGCCTTGCCTGACTGGCTGGAGATTCTTTTGTGCAACTGTGGAGGACGCTGGACAGCCATTTTCACGCACTCAACTGTAGAAACAGAATACAAAATCAAGACTTAGAAAGCCATGAGATGAAGGCTCATTTCTGAATACGTCGTGTAGTTATATGGTACAAATCTTAGGAGCTTCCCAGCATCAAGTCAAATCAATACATTTCTTTATCTGTAAAACAGGGATGTTTGTGATACCTATTCAAGGGTGGTTGTGAGGGCCAAAAGAGATAAAATATCTAGGATTTTCTTTGTAAACGATTGTCATTATTGTAATTGTCATAATGATATTACTGAACACTACCAATCCTAGAATGTTAGCACTGGAAGGGACCTTAAAAGGTTAGATAGGAATGGATGTTTTCTATCCAGCTTCCCCATTTCACAGATGTCAGAGATTGAGGCTTAGGAAAGTTAAGTGATTTGCTCGAGGTCTCACAGCAAATGAGTGTTCACACTGGGCCTGGGACCTTGCCATAATCAATCCACAGGAGCCTACCTAAAATACCACTTTCATCATCTGATCAGTAGCTCTCAATTATTTTAAGTGCTGATTCCTTCGACTGCTATTTAAAGTCTCCCAGTAGCCTAAGTCACAGAGAGGCCAAGAAGGCTGAGAAGTGAGGAGGCCTCCTGTTGCCTTCCATGAAACCTTTTGCCTCACTGCTCCATTCAGGGTAGTGGCCTTACTTTCCCAAATCTCATCCATTCCCACCTCTGTGTTCTTCCCATTATGATCTACTTCTCTTATTGGACAGACAGGAGAGCTTGAAGACATAGCCTAGGTCTATTAGGAGTTTCAAGTCTTAGTCTAGAGAGAGGATTTAATTAGAAGAAATAATGAGAAAAGGCTTGAAGACCATATGTGGAGTATAGACTCTTTAAGTCCTGTGGGAATTCAGAGGTCATTATAGGCAGGCAAGAGAAGCCGATCTAGGACGTGAAGGATCAGGAGGAAAGAGCCGATGAATGTGGGGAGAAGGACCAAAGCGTGTTCATGGAGGTGGGAAAGTAAAGCTGCTGCCCAGAATGGAGCACTGTGAGGCAGACAGCTTCAGGGGAAAGAGCAGGAGGCCTCCTCACTTCTCAGCCTTCTTGGCCTCTCTGTGACTCACGACCCTGGAAGACTTAAAATAATTGAGAGCTATTGGTCAGATGATGAAAGTGGTTTTTTAGATAGGTTCATATGCATTGGTTATGGGGGGGGAGAGAGAGAGAGAGAGAAATCATATAGACTATATGAAAAGTCATCTAGGTAAGAGGATGAGGATGTAGACTTAGGATGGTGGCAGGGTGGATGTAAAGGAAGGTACTAATATAATACTAACTATGAAATCTCTTTATCTGTTTTATGCAGCCAGGTGGCACACTGGATAGCGCACTAGGCTTGGGGTCAGGAAGGGCTGGGTTCAAATCTGGCCTATGACACTTACCAGCTGGGTGACCCTAGGCAAGTCACTTCACCTATTCCTGCTTTGGTTTCCTCAGCTGTAAAATGGGAATAATAGCACCTAACCCCTAAGGTTGTCATGAGAGTAAAATGAGATAACGTTTGCAAAGTGTCTGCCATCACCTTGCTCTTCCCCCTCAGTAGGGATTTAGTCCTTTTCCCATTGAGAAGGAGATTTCTGTTTCCTTCTCCTTCCTTTGTTGCAATCTCATAAACTAGCAAGCTTCTGTTAGGATTGTGAGCTCTTTGTACTTGATGGGGTTCCACATGCATATTCATTTCTCTTGTAATAAATCCAGTTGCAGCGCATGTCTCATGGACTTGTGATATTGGTTTTTGGTTAATGAGCCCATGAGAGTCTTTCTTTTTGCTTGTATTTCTATCCCTGTACTCAGCACAGTGCCTGGCATGCATGCTTATTGCCTTGATTTGCCTGGTTTCAAGTTCTTTCCATTCTATGATTATACGTGTTAAATTTGAGGTGATGTGAGATTTTCTAGAGGGAGCCATTCTGTTGGCACCTGGAAAACACGGAGTGAAGGCTAGAGATGTGGCTTTTAGAGCCATCAAGATAAAAGACTTGACGCTGTGGGGAAAACTTGTATGGTGGAATGGAAATTGGGCTTTCCTTGAAAGAATACAAGAAAAAAGAGCTAAAAATGGAATCTTGGGAGATACCACTTGTTAAGGGGAAGAGACCGAAAAGGAGTTAGTCAAAGGGCCTGAGGAGTAGTCAGAGAGGCAGGAGGAAGCTCAGGAAAGTCCAGCTGCCTTTTAAAGAGGAGGAGTTGGTCAGCAGCGTTGTAAGTCACATAACAGTCAAGAAAAGATGCAGAAAAAAGGTCTAGTGGAGGAAGAAGAAGAAGAAGAAGAAGAATCAGATTTAAGTGGATTCAAGCCACAAATAGAATGGATAGGGGTGTAGGGGATGCATATGAGACAAACAAGTTATAGTAGATCATCCCCAAATGGGGCCAAGCAGAGTCCCTGGGCCCTCTGGGCACCTGCTTTTCCCTGGCCTTTTTTAAGTTTGATAGTTTAATTTTTTGACTCAAAACATTTCTGTCACAGAGACTGATCTGGGCAAGGCAACAGAGGCACGGGGCAACCTCAGCAACAAATCGCTTTACTTAGAGCTCACATTTGTGCATCTCTTTGAGGTTTATAGCATGATTTCCTTATAGCTCTGGCAAGAAGGGAGTGAAAGGCTTGGCATCCCAAAGAGGCTCCCAGGGGGGACAGAGCATGTCTAAAGTCCTGCAAGTATCAAGTGGCAGAGTTGGGGCTCACGCCCAGCTTTCTGAGCTCTTGCCCCTATGGCATGCTGCCTCTATTCAGTAAACTAGAAGATGTAGGTGCCTCAAACTGAGGTGTGACTTTGGGATTGGGGTGTACATTGAGACGTTTACTACCAAGGAAGTCTAACTGTGCAAGACAAAATTAACAATGGAAAGAATGTACCATGAGAAAGCAGAAGTCTGGCCAAGGCTGAGAGCCCAAGGTGCTAGAGTTAGCTGCTGGGCACTGCCAGGATTCTTGGCTGGGAGGGGAAGGGAGGAGGAGAGTCACTGATGTGAAAACACCAAGTGGTGTTGATGATGACAAACTAAAGCTTCCTTGTGGGTAGTTCAGTGAAGTTACTGAGAGAATCCCACCAACCCTTGGGACTCTCTTACTTCAGCTTCATTCTCTGGCAACCAACAGAACTCATTTCTCTCTTCCCAGGCCAGCAAGGCTGTAAAAGAAGCTGAAAGATATGACGCTGCCAACGTTTTCACCCAGTTCATCATATTCAAGATTGCGATCTCAAGAGGCAGTACTGATGAAGGTAGGGAAGCTGTTCCTGAGCGCCATGTGGCCAATGGCATCGGAAATGGTTGTCCTTGTGGGGGAGGGGGAGAGCCTGTGGACATCTAGATGGCTTCATCACAGGAAATAAGGGGAAAAAAAAGCAGAGGAGATGAGGGGTTGCAGTCTCAAGGAGTGTGACCTCTGGCGGTAGAGAAAATTCCAGATGGAACTAGCCCTGAAAGCTGAGAGGTGAGTTATGGAGAGGAGTAGCCCCAGGAAGCCCTGCTAGGTAACTTCTGCTGATGGGCAGCCTGGTGCAGTGTGAGGATAGGTCACTGGGGCCCTGAATTATTGGAGGAAGTGTGACGTGCCGTACCCACATGCGTGTGCTTTCTCACTCTCAGTGTTCTCTTGGTTTGGGCCCACTTTTCTCACTGACACTGTGTGCCCAGGATCGGGGGGGATGCCTCTGTGTTTGAGCTCCATGTGTTTTCTGGCTGTTAAAGGGAAGCTCACCAGTGGGATGATGGGACTTGTGGTCTTGGTCTTTTTCATGATGAGATGTCATATACCAATAAACCGAATCTGCATTTGGTTCAGTTTCAATGTTCTAAACTGCCAGATTTTTCCTCCTCTTTCTTTCAAAGATGCACTAATGGCTTGTACCATCAGTACAGAGATTGAGCCCTTCTTTCTGTTTTTTTTTTAACTTTTTTTCTCATCTTAAACACCAAAAAAGAGAACATTTCCATTTATAGAGCAGAATACAAAAGGAGGGCTGCCTATGAAATTGTAAATCTCCATTTCATACATACAGTAATTCCACATGTTACTTTCAAAACTGTCCTCGCCTGTGATTTCTTCTTCTACTTATTGCTTTTCCCTTCTGTGCGTTCTAATGCCTCTCTTTTTAGGGGTACCATTACTGCTAATTTTCCCTCTGTCCCCCATTCTCTCCCCCATTTCCATTTAAAAACTGAAAGAAAGAAAAAAAAAAAGAATCCTTGTGACAGACGAGCATACTCAAGTGGAATCCCCACAGTGACCTTGGGTGAGAACTCTCCTGTCTCTTTCTGCATCCTTTCTGTCGGGAAGACAATAACCTTTGGAATCGTGCTTGGTCATCTCGTTGATCAGAGTTCTTTAAGGCTTTCTGAGTTGTTTTTCTTTACAGTGTTAGAAATGTATAAATATCCACAATTCTCTGAAAGCATCTCATTCTTCATTTCTTATGGCACAATAATATTTCGTTCTCTTCATATTACCACAGTTTGTTCATCCATTTCCCAATTGATAAGTTTCCCCTTAGATTCTAGTTGTTTTCTTAAATTTTGCTTTTTAATCCCTGCTTCAGCTTTCAAGAAATTTGACTGTTCACTCCCAGTATTATCCTCTCTTTTAAACCTCTCAACCCCTCCCTGTCCTTCCTTATTTCCCTTTTGAGTTTGCTGTATTTCTACATCAGGTTTTGTGTGTGCTCGTGGTGCGCATTCGTCTGTGGAACCTTACTTTGTCCATTGCAGGATAGAATGAGGTTCCTCGGATGCCTGCTCCCCCCCCACACCCTTTTCTCCATGTTTGTACATTCTTCTTCTCACACAGGCTACTTATGAAAAATAGCAAGTTCTACTCCCTCCTTCCTCCTCCTTTCTACAAAAGGGTATCCTTTCTTTTACTTTCTCTTCTCTTTGCCCTCTTCAGACTTTCAGAGTTGGACCAATCTAGCCTCAGGGCCTCTATTGTTCTTTAATTTCCTCAATAGCCTTTGAAGGCTTAGAATTTGAAGGGCCACTCCTTTCTTCTTCCCTACTAGAATGTTAGCCCTACATCATCATCCAGCTCGTTCGTCTGCTCAGATTTGCCTTTCGAGATTTCTCATGAGTCTTGTGTTTGCATTTCAGAGTTCCTCCTCCGTTCTGAAATGTCTGAAAGCCCCCTTTCAGCAGAAGTTGCCAGATCTTCGATGATCTTGACTGTGGTTCCTTGGTATTTGAACTGCTTCTTTCTGGATGCTGAGAGTATTTTTTCTTTGTCTTGGGAGCTCTGGTTTTTGGCTAGGACATTCCTAGGACTTTTCCTTTGGGGGTTCCTTTCAGGAGATGATAGGGTAGATTCTTTCTACCTCTAATTTGCCCTCTGGTTCTAATAAACCTGTAATTCTTGAAATATGATGTAGAAGGAAACACATTTTCAGACATGGCTAATGTGGGAATTTGTTTTGCCAGACTATATATTGAGGGATTTGTTTTTTGTCTTGTTTGTTTTTTATTTGCTGAGGGAAGGAGTAAGTAGGAGAGACAGATTAATAAAAAAAATGCTTGTTATTTGAAAAATTAGCAAACAGTTTTAAAAAGAAAAAAGTAATATAGTGTCTAAGATTTTTTTAATCACAGTTTTCAGGGAATCTGATGATCTCTTTTGACTTTTTTCTAGTTCAGTTATTTTTTATAGCAGATAGCTTACTTTTTCAATCTTTTGATTTTGTTCTAATATTAACTGCAGAATCGTGAAGACATTAATTGCTATTTGATGTAGTGAATAGAGTGCTGGGCCTGGAGTCAGGAAGACCTGAGTTCTAATGAGGCTCCAAACACTAGCTGTGTGACCCTGGGCAAGTCACTGAACACTGCTGTCTGCCTTGGTTTCCCCAGTTGTAAAATGGGGATAATAACATTACCTATTTCAAAGGGTTATTGTACGATCAAAATGAGATAATATTTGTAAAGCACTTAGTACAGTGACTGGCCCATAGTATGCACTTTATAATTGCTTATTTCTTTCCCTTCAGCCTATTTATTCTTTTCTAGTTTTTTAAGAAGTTTGTTAATTGGATAAGGTTTACCACTTTCTATTCAAAGCTGTTTAGTGTTCTCCTAGCTCTTTTCTCCAGAGCTGTTACTTCTTTATTTCTTGCTTCATTTCTTTTAGGATTTCATGTATTCCTTGTGGAAAATTCATTTTTTTTTTCCATTTTGAGTCACTGCTTGCAGTTATTCTGGAGTTACTTCCCCTTCTTTTTGAAGATCTCTGTGTCTATGAATAATTTTTGAAACCAGTTGCTGTTTTCTTTGGTTTACTTGTATCTTTCCAACTTTAGTTCCTGAATTGGGGCTTTTGTGCCAGGGCCAAGCTCTGCCCAGTGTTGCGCTTTGGAGTGGGGTAGTTGGCCCTGCTTGGTCTCTGTATTCTTGTACTAGCTGCTGACGTTAGCCCACCTGGATCTTTGGCTTGTAGAGTGCTGAATCTTCAGGCCCTGGCTGGTATCTCTGGAACAGGTTGCTAGGGTCTTGTGAACCCCTGTACTGTCATCTAAGTCTGAATAGGTGCCCTTCTCCAAGGTCCCCAACCTAGGGCTTTCTGATCTGGCCAGGGCTTTTTCAAGGGCCCTCCTTGACCCTTGCCAACTCCAGATGCATAGTCTTTTAGGCTACATGTGTTTCTCTGGTTATGCTCTTAGGGTGCTGGCTTGTTTGCCTACTCTACGGCACTGGCTTTGTTGACAGCCTCCCTTTTCTAGGGCCTGTGGGCTTCTGGCTGACATTTTTGCAGTTCTGGATTAGAAGAAGACCTTATAGTTTCCCATTGGATTTCTTGATCATTATTGAGTCTGATACAAATATCAGGTTTTTGACACTCCAGGTATGTGGGAGCTGGGTCCTCTCCCTCTGTTCAGGCAGCGATCTTGACTGAAGGATCTCATCTCTTTTTCTTTATAAGGTCCTAGATCATTGATTCGGAGATGAAAGGGACCTTAGAGTAAACACAGGCATAGATAGGGATCATGCAGCTAATAAGTGTCTAAGGTTTTCCTGCCTCCAAGTCCAGGATTCTATCCATTGTTACTCCATGTTTCCTCTATAGCAATTTCAGAAAATACCATTACTCAAATAAATTATGAAAATGAGCAAAATTCCAAATAAAACTTCAAACTCCATTATTTCAAGTTTGTTTTTTTAAATGTAAACTAATAACAATAACAAAAATTGTATTCTAAAATGAGTGACCTTCAACAAAAGCATTTAGATAAAACCATAAGGTCCATGTTATTGACAGTTTGTTTAAAAATGTGATTAACTTGAACAAAATAATAACAGTGGGCAGAATAGTGGGTTGAAAAAAGCTCTGGATTTGGAGTTGGATCTGGGTTCAAATTTCAGCTCTGCTATTTCCTTGCCACATGACCTTGGTCAAGTCCCATTCTCCCTCTGGGCCCCAGTTTCCTTGTCTGCCGAAGGAAGGTGTTGGACTAGAGTACCCTTCCAGTTCTAAACCTCTGGTGCTCCCCTTCTGATCATTTTCTTCTTTGTATTTGTAAAAATTCTGTTGCCGTTATTATTACTCTTATTTTATGCAGTCCAGCTCAGTGTGCTCATCACTCTAGCTGCTGTTTAATACTTAATGATTGTTAATTGTTTTTCACACTTCATTTAACCCTCCCCATATTTCTCTAAATTTTTCATGTTTCTCATTTCTTAGAACGTGAGCCTTTTCTCTTACCTTCTTGTATCAATGTTTGTTCAGCCAGTCCTAGGTCTTTGGCTGTGAATTGTTTCCAGCTTCTGCCCTTACAAATAAAGCTGCTATAAATATTTTGGTATGGCTAGGTCTTTTTTCCTTTTAATAACATCCTTAGGGTTGTCATTATAATCTTAATAGTGGAACCAGTGGGTCAAAAGGTGGGCACACTTTAAAGTCCTGATGTTGTTATTTCGCTGATACATCTGCTTGTTTCTTCACAGCCCTGCCAACTTTGAATTTGATCCGTTTCTTTTTAAGGAGTCTGCCATATTACCTCAGAATTATTTTAATGTGTGTTTCTCTGAGTATTGAAATGCTTTAATAATTTTTCAGGTGGCTATTGACTGTTTTATTTTGAAAACTTGTTCAGTATCCTTTAGCCATTCATCCATTGGGAAATGGATCTTGCTCTTCCAATTTGTCTCAGTTGCTTAGGGATTTGGGAGGTCATTTTATCAGATTATAGCAAAGATTTTTTTCTTCTACTTTAATTTTTATTTTGGATGCTTTGCTTTCTTG